TGGTTAACTGGAGGTTCTACAGGGACTGGTTCTGTCAAAAGAAGGCAGTGACTGAACCTCTGAATGTGCAACATAATCAATCCTGACATCAGCTGCTCATCAATAATTCCACTGAATGACTGATTGATCAGGTGTCACATATTTACCCGTATGACAGACAGACAGACAGACAGACAGACAGACAGACAGACAGACAGGGACTCACTTGCCCACGAAGTTCTCCAGCACCGAGCTCTTCCCGGCGCTCTGGCCGCCCACCACCGCGATCTGCGGCAGGTCGAGGGTCGCGTTCTGGCCGATGGCGCTGAAGGCGTCCTGCAGCTGGTTCACCAGCGGGATGAGATCCTCCATCCCCCGGTTCCCCATGACGGACAGGCGGGGAGGCGGAGGCCGACGGGCGGCGGAGAGAGGGAGAGGGACGGAGGCTGCTGGAGCTCAGTCCGTGAGACCGGCGGCGGTGAGACCGGCGGTCCGTCCGTCTGAGTGACGTCGCGCTGCAGCGGATTGATAACCTGATCAGAGAATCGATCAGTGATTGGTGCTGATGCTGATGAGGATGAAGATGCTCCAGCTGTGACCTTCAGCTGCTGCTGCTGCAGGAAAGCACACACTGATGACACACAGACACACACCGACACACGCACACATCCGGGATGGACCTTCACAATAAAAGCCCAACATGGCGGCATTAAACTAAATGAATCCCAATGAAACCCTTCTTAAACAGTTTGTTTCAGTTTGTAGAAAGATGTTCCATCATCAGATGGAGAAAGATGTTCCACACGCACTGATCCATGCTGCATTTATGTATTGATCCAGGAGGTTGGACTTTAAATTCAGATTTGGTGTATTTTTCTAATGGATCCAGACGTCACTGATAAGTTCACGGACTGTCAGAAAGTTTAAATTATGCTGATTCTTTTTGTTCCGACAGTTTCTGTCTGATGAATTGTTCTGGAGATTTTTTAAAGATTTTCTGTCTTTCATACCCTCTGGCAAGATATGAGATCAGAAACGTCCTGCAGCTCGAGTTGGTTCTGTCTGCAGAGCCGGAGTCTGCGTTCTCAGGACCGACGGGACCGATGAGACCAGTAAGACCAGTAAGACCAGTAAGACCGGTGGGACCAATGGGACCAGTAGGACCAATGACACTGATGGGACCAATGGGACCGGGGTGAGCCACAACAAGTCACAGCCTTCCTGTCCATGATGGGCGACAGTCACAACGTGCTCCTGATGGTGAATCGTTCTATTGCTGTGAACGGTTCTGACGTGTTCCTCTGAGCTGTTGGTGACCACTGAGTTTAAAGTTTAAAGTCGTCATTAAACCTGCCGTCACGTGTGATGAAAGCTCGTTTGCTGATTTGTTTCACTGAGTCAAAGTGAGATGTTGTGGGCTCAGCTCCAGATGATGATAATTAACTACAGCATGTGAATTCATACTTGATCAGATGATAGCAGCGTGTTCATGATGTCCGTCTGTCACTACAAGCAGCAACAGCCTTCAGTGTGGATGTTCTATACTCACTGTTTAAGGATGTTCATCAAGTTCAGCTGTGTGAACTGGTCCCAGTTTAACCCAGAGGTGCTGATGCTGGGTTCCTCTGAGAGCTGCTGGTTCTCTCATAGTTTACTGAGAACCTTTATGGAGCTCATTTGTCAGTTGTTCCTCCTGGTACCGGTCCAAGTGTGGCTGTAGAAATGTTCAACAGTCTGTTCATAGTGGCAGTTTGTAATGCTGAAATGTTTAGTGTGTCGTCGGTCCAGTTCTAGGATCGGCTCAGGTTTAGGTTCATGTATGTTTGCACAGTGAGCTAATAAAGGTCCATCCTGACCAAGGTGCACATCAGAAGCCAGCGAGGGAGACCCTTCCCCCTACGGACCACCAGACAACACACCGCTGCTTGTTCTGTCGCTCTAGTTTGTAAAATTGAGAAAAATAAAAGAGTGAGCTCTGTCCAGTCCATCAGATGCATCAGCGCTGTGTCTGCTTCCACGTCTGTCTCAGGAGCTCCTGAGCGACGGCAGTCACTGGACACGCTTCCTTTTCTCGTGTGTGCAGATTGTATTAAATATGTGCCTCCAGGGTTGCTCTTGTGTTTGCCTCTGTCCAGCCTGGCAGGCCGTCCTGCTGGACATCCAGAGGCCACAGCAGCTGGTTCTGATGCTGTTTTACCTGATAATAAGTACGTTCATGACACCATGTCTCAGCAGCCACTTACTGGAATCAGCAGTTTTTAGGGTGGAACAAACCTTCAAACCTACAAGCACGTGGACATGAAGTCTGCTATAAACGGATAAACCTGTCATCCGAGTGAAGTGGTGACGTTAGCCATCCTCTACGGCTGCAGGTGGCGCTGTCCCAATGGTCCTGTTGGTGCAGCTCAGACCGACCTGCTCTTACTGTGAAGGAGCAGCGCCACCGTCAGACCACAGGAGGCGCTGCAGGCCGATACAGTAACACACTGATGATCCACAGGCAGATGGAGCTGAGCTGAGCCTGAAGAGCATCGAAGGATTCTGTTTGCTCACCTTTGTGCTGCACTGTTTCCAGAAATCACAAAACTTTGAGGCTAAACTTGATCTGATGAGAATCCAACCTGAAGAACGTCTGAAACAAAAACAGGAACTTTTGTCTTTTCACCTCTTTGTTTAATTTCACATTAATTCTGCTTCATCAGGACACACACACCGAGGTCTGCACATGCTGTGGAACCAACACAGCTGCTGGTCAGACAGCAGGAACCCTCAGCAGAACCTGGAGCTTCTCCAGCAGAACCTTCTTCACACACTGACTCAGCAGCTTCTGACTCTGGAGGCACTTTGAAGTGAACAAAGCTGAAAAAGATTCTGAACAAACATGTTCATCACCAGTTACTGCACTCACTCACTCACTCACTCACTCACTCACTCAC